GCTATCTCCCCTGCTCCGTTTCCCATGGTGTAATCTTACCTCCCTAATTGAGCATGCTTGATTCCAATACACCCTGGAGTTTTCCGATGCTACGTTACAGTAGTACATCAACCTAAATTTAACTACTTTATTTTTTTTCCTCCAGGCTTTTCCACGAACAGTCCACCAGGATGTTAGAATTTTTGCCCAATCAGATTTCCGTCTCCACGTGACGGATAGGGAAGGCTTTTTGTATTGCCACCTGACCCGATAGCCCACACAGATGAAGACGGGAAATTATTGCGACATGTGCTAAGCAGCCGGAACTTGTCAGAGATTTCTGCAGCTCCTTCACAATTGTTGGCTGGCTCTCGGAGCCCTCCCGGACTAGTTTTCTTCTTGTCCTCGCATTGGTTTTGGAGGGATGTCCGGTTCTTGGTGTGTGTCATTTTCGCTCCACTTGATGATGACTCTCTTCACATGGCATTTTTTTTTTTTTTTAACAGTTAGATCCCTCTGATCCGATGCAAGCTCCCTGCAGACCTTGCCTTGTGCTGTAAAAAGTGATGACAACACTGTGAGGAGACACCTACTCGAATAGCTGAACTTTATTTGGGTTTCAATGGTGGAAACTGTGTTACGTACACTGCGTATTTAAGAATAAGAAAACCTTTATTTGTCTCACAATGGAGAAATTCCCAATTTAAAGCAGCAAAGTTATGAAAGGAAAAAAGGAGAACAAAAAGTATAGGAGCTGCTGTAAAGTAAGTTCGTAATGAATGAATTAAAAATGAAGAATGTTAACCCTTTCATGCACCCTGTAACCTGATGACATGATAAGCTGTCCACTGTAGTAAACACTGTCCCTGAAAGGGTTAAAGTGCCGTTGGATTTTTTTTATTTTTTTATATGTATATTATATATCTTTGGAGTAAAAAGTTTGTACACCCTTTTGTCTCGAAACCAGATTCCCCATTGAGGCTTTTCAGTCTCCCTTCAGACGATCCTATCAACAACAAACGTTGGTCAGCAGCATCCAGAGGTCAGGAGGACAACTCGGCACTTCACCGTGCCGATGGGATGAGGTGGCTGAAGGGGGTGGGGAGACACTCATTGGCCAGGAATGGGACCAAGGGGCTTACAGTGACAGTCGCAGGATGGGGGCTTAATGAGGATACATCACTGCAGCGGTGAGCCAATCTGTGAGCCGAGCATATTCCGTGCACCAAAGCGCGGATGCAATCGTGCGAGTATACACTCTGAAAACCGCCGGCTTAAAAGTAAGATGAGTGAAATAGCTACACCTTTAAAACTACGGAAACAAAAATAACCTGACCTGCTCCTTGGGTCACTTTGACCCAACTTGGGGTTGTTTTGGATCAAAACAACCCAACTTTTTTTGTGGATATATGTATTTTGTGTCTACCCATAAAAGTGGAGAGTCCAAGTATGGTTGACCCTTGGATCCATGTCACATGACCATATTGAGCTCAAGTCTCAAAAGTGAGCCCCTTCCTGCCATTAACACTTACACAAAAGCATTTTCCAGTGAGACTGTGGGAACTTTTTGGACTCGTATGTGTGTGTGTGTGTGTGTGTGTTGGAGGGGGGGGGGGGGCCTTGAACAACTTTCCTGTGGCCCTCAGCCGCCATGGTTGCAGAGCAGTAAACGCAGCCAGTGAGCTGTAAAATAAAATGAAGTGCGGAGAGAATTGGACGCATCCACACGGCCATTGGCCGTCGAGTGAGCTGTAAAATAATAACATGCCGTCATAAAACAAAGTGCTTATTAAATCATTTTCAAGCAATATTGGTCGATTGCAAGGCATCCTGCGGGAGGCCCCACAAAACAAAAATGATCTGATGAGGATAGCAGCTGGACAATCAAAATAAAGTTGAAGACATTAGACTGGCAACCATAAAATCGTGGTACTCTCACAACATTAGCGACACTTGCTCATCAGAGTCAATATTAATTGTAACAAAGGATCATATCACAGGGCTATTTGGAATTTTGTAATATTTTGGGAGAATTTATTCAACTCTGTAATTAATTGAATCACTGTTGTGTGAATTGGAAAATGAAAAATCATGAAATGAGCCGCCTCAGGCCAGTTTTTCATTTGATGTCATTTCAATTTGACGAGACAAGAACAAGCATTTCGCGCGCGCCGGTTGACAATTAAGGTCCAGAGAAAGTAAACAAACAGGCGTCGCCACACCTGTTTAAAAGCTCGAAGAACAAACCACTGTTAACAAGCGGGGGTGCACTATGTGAAATTCTTCTGCGGTTCAACTCATTCCATCTCCAATCTGATTACAGTTCGAACGAAAGCATGTTGTGGTCTACAAGAACCCGCGTGATGTTTGTGAGTTATTGTGTTAAAGTGATTACAGTCCAGTACTCTACGCCTGTGAAAGGATGAACACCCCTACCCAAGTGGTAGATTCCAGGTAAATTTTCCCGGGGTGCACCATTCAAAAATGCTCCAGGGGCGAGGGCTCGTTTGGAAACAAAATGTAACGAATGATATTTCACTTTTTTTTATTTTTTGCTTCAAATGTAACATTTTTTGGGGGTACCCAATATGTACACGTTACGTTTCTTGGATTGGATTGGATACAACTTTGTTGTCAAATGTGCTCCTGAGGAATATATTTTATTCGTTCTTTCCTGTTGGATAGGAGTCCCCAGATGTCGAACAAAGGTAGGAGCGCTTTTCCATTAAGAAAATGTTTGCGCGTGCGTGGAGAAGAAAGAAAATTGGTTCTGGTGTAGTTTGCAGCTTTTCGAATTGAAGGCTTGTGTGTGTTGGCGGTGGAATTGTGTTGTGATGCCCACAAGGGCTTCGAAAATGTTTGATAGAAACACTTTCAAGTCTTTTTTTTTTTTTTTGCTTCATCGATTGTCTTGTCATAATTGTCATTTCTACGTTCTAAGTATTTCCAAAATCTCTTGGCTTCATTTTATTTTCCTCACATAAGCAGCCGGTCCGTGGCTGCATGAGCCATAAATAATGTTGATAAAGACTCCGGTTAGAATGACTTTCACGTGTCCCCCAACGCACCCCCCCCCACACTCCTTCCATTGATTTAACGTGACCCCCGCTTCCAAATGATATTGGAAGCCTATTGAAACAGATGAAGGTCTAAATTGTCTTGCTTGTATGCCCTCCCGCCAGCCCTTTGCGTTCTACGGGGAGGGCCTGTAAATTAGGGATGTAAGCCAATTTAAACAGCAGCAGCGCATTTATGTGTGCTTCAGTTTGGGACATCTGCACTGCACCGCCCCGATCCGAATGCTTTGTGTGATCGAATGGAAGCTGGGGAGCTGTGCGCCAATTCGCCCTTTTACGCCTGATGTAATGTTGAATTGGTGTGTTTTTTTGTTTTTGTGTGCTGAAATTGAGTGAAATTGTTGCATTAGGCGCCGTGCATGCGTCTTCAACGTGCTCGTCACTTTCCCCCCGCCTCCATGAGCTCAGTATATAAAAAAATGGATATCCTGACGCACCTGTCTGAAAGATGGTGGCTCCTCGATGTGTCGTCTTTTGTTTTTAATTATTATGTAGACATTTGAATGACCCGCGTCCCTTCCCAAGAAAACAGCCCTTGGTAGTTTACATAAATCTGCCCGTGTGCGCGCGTCTTAAACGGTGTATTGTTCCAAACATATGCATTTTAATCAGCGTGGTCACACTTACAAGAACAGCAGTTAATAAGGCCATCAATCAAGATGGAGGTGGGAGGGGGAGCGCATTGAGGTGGGGTGTGGGGGGGGGGCTGTTTGCACCACGCATGGGTGCAGAAACCGTCTTATTAGCACGCATCGGGGGCACGGGGATGCGGAGAAGTTTTCTTGGTTTGTGTGTAGCGAGGATGGATGAAGATGCATCCGTGATGAATGTTTTTTTTATTTTTGTGTTTCCTGTCATGTACTCACTGACCACAACTTAGTCAAAAGCTGTGCTGTTATAAAGGGGGAACGTGCTGTTTGTGTATATATATATATATATATATATATATATTCTTTTGTATACGTGAAGTGTATTTTGTGAAGGAAGGAGAGATGCTGTAATTTTAAAAAAAAGCCTGCATTTGACAATAATTTTTGAGGGGGTAGGGTTAATAGAACGAAAACTAGAACTTATTTTTTGTGTGGTAATTCGAAAAACATTAAAGGTGATTCATGAGCCTACTCTGCATTTAGCTACAGCTAAATGGGAAAAAAAATGCGTGTAAAACGGTTAGCCTCTTAATGGTCTAGTGCAGCATATGCTCAAAACTACAACCGTAATTCCATATTTCAGTCCGAATCATATTCGTAAAATTTTATGCAAGGGTGCCAAAAAGGCCAGCAGTCTTTCGGGCGTATCGAGTGGCTTCAAATGTGACTTGAATCGGTTTTTCAATCCAATCACTTCGAGTCAACTCGTGCAGTTAAGTACCAGCTGATTGGTCCGTGATCGATCTCTTTGCACCTCAAGTGTATCGTTCTCTCGCTCTTTCGCTCTTCTCTCTATTAAGTGGCTGCGAGAAGGGGGGAAAAAAAGCACAGGGACCTCTTTAAGTGTCATGGTCAATCTAGCGGACCCATCACGTGATAGGAGGCCGCATACTCATCTTGACGCCCACCGTTTGAGAAGAAAATTATTATCGGAAGGGAGGGAGGCGACAGGGGGCTTTTATGAGCCAACAATATGGACCCCAAAAAAAATGAACACTATAAAATGACCATAAGAAAATTCGCCCGCTCCACTTTTATGACAGTTTATTGCAAATTAGACGTCGAGATACAACCCCATCCTTATAACAGAAAATCAATTGAAAGACAAATGCAGAAATATACACTAAAAAACGAGTGCAGCAATTATAGGCTGTGATCAAAAGATAATCATAGTGATGTGCTGGCTCTTATAAAGTTGTAGGATGTAACACCAAATATTTATTTTTTTAGATATTTGATTGTCCACTCTCCATCCACCCCCCCCCCCCCATTCCTCTGAATTCCGCTCCCCTGGCGCCTTGTTACCTTTCGGCAGCAACCATCCCCTTCTTCCTGGTGTAATCATTAATTCCGCACTCAAAATTCACCGGCTCCTACATATACATCACGCTGTAATTTCATGTGCACATGGCTGACATCCGCCGCTAATGAGACGGCCCCGGCCCCGTTCACAAATCCCCTCCCACCCCTTGTTAGAAATAGCCTCTGGAAGCATCATTTTACGGATGTGGAAGACAGCATAACCTTAAAAAAAAAAAAACTTAGGAATTGAAATATTTCATCAGATCGAAATGTTTTTTTGTGTGTGTGTGCTCATGTACGAATTGTCATATTTTATTTTAAATATGCCACCGTTCCCCAAATGATTTGTTGTGCTCTTACGGTCCGGTCCCAATTTGAAGACTGTTGCAATTGGGTGAAATATAAGAGTACTAAAGGCGATATGCTGCGTATGGGAGATTTGAGGGTTTTATCTGGTCAGTGGCACCTCCTCCCGCTGGTCCACTGTCACGGATGAAGCTTTGCTCAACACGGAAGGCGTAAAAGTGACAAAGGCATCAGTCCTGCTCGTTGGGGAACAGGTGAAGTCCGCGGCCGGGGCCCTGGATGAGAGGCCGCCGGATGGAGCCGAGTGACAAGCCAGGCAAGTGCACGGGCTTCCCCCGGGACCGAGCCCGTGAGCCGGACTCTGGTACAAGGACGGGTGCCTGAAGGCGCACAGGAGTTCCGGCCTCTGGTAGGGGTGGGACAGCATGCGGAAACTGTCCAGGGAGCGCAGGCCGTTGGGGAAAGGAGTGGCGGGGGCCGGAGTGGTGCCGGCTCCCATCCCCAGGTGCGAGTAGTAGGGCAGCGGCAGGTGGGATGAGAAGGGGTAGGGCAGGTTCCCCGTGGCCGCCGCGTGGCTCATCATGTACGTGTAGAAGGCCGGGTCGGCGGGGTGAGGCCACGTCATTGCCAGACGTTGACGCTTGTCTTTCATTCTGCGGTTCTGGAACCACACCTGGGGACCGGAGACGGACCAGGTCAAATATTAACCACGCGCCCAACTCTATTACAGACCATAACAGCTCACTTTAACTAGCTTTGCCTTGTGTGGACATTCGCCTTTCAACGCTATTGGTTTTATTTTCATGTCTATCTTTAATTAAAAAACGGTTGGATCCAAAATAACCCCATTGTGGGTCAAAAGAGATGAGCTACTGAAAATCCCGCAAAATTACACATGGATTTTTTTTTTGCACAAAAAAAAAGGGTCACATTGACCCAAGTAGCTTTTTAACCCACAATTGGGTTATTTTTGCCCCAATAACAGCAACTGTGATTTTATGTATTATACTTTTCCAACAAATTCATTTTAATGAGCTCATTTCGTCCTTTATTATTGGAGGACTTCTTCTGTCTTCGTCATACCTTAATAGTAGTTTCCGGTAGATTCAATGCGGCAGCCAGCTCGCACCTCCTCGGCCTGGACACATAATTCTCCCGGTAAAATTCCTTCTCCAGCCGCGCGATCTGCTCCCGGGTGAAGGCTGTGCGGTACCTGCGAATCTGATCCGCCGAGTAGGACAGAGAGTTCTGACCTGGGACGCTCTTACCCGGGTCAGAACCGGAATCGCTTGGCAGACCAGGCGATTCCCCATTTCGACCTAGAGAGAGACGATAACGGTATAAAATGGAGGTCGTGACAAATTGGGGGGGGGGGGTCGAAAGGACGCCATATACCCTTGATAGTGATAATATATTCCGTAATTTTAATGTGAACCGTGCCATGCCGTCATTTTTTTTCAACATTTGTGAGCAATAAATAAAAATGGACATCAATACTTTCGAGACTCCATTTAAAATGTCAACGCCAATACTTTTAATTTGAATTATTGCTGCTAATTAAGACCCTGTCATCCAAAACGCTAATATTTTAATCAGAAATGTCTCCGGTATATTTTATTTACATCATACAGGTGCATTGGCAGAAAAGTAGCAATAACAACCTGTGACTGCAGCTTTTATTTTTAATTTTTTTGTTAAACTGCAGTTGTATTTCTGATGGAATTTGACATCGTTATTGGCTAAACATCATTTGCACCGTACCCTTAGCCGAGGGGTAGTCCATGCTTTCCGGCGTGCAGCTCACGTCGATGTCCTCATAGAAGTCCGACTCTGTGTCCGAGCTGCTGCCGTCCTTGTGGGGCCCATCGCCCCGGTGCCTGTCCCCAATCTCCGCGCACAAATTCCTGCGGGCGATCTCCTCCATCACCGCTTCCGTTAAGCAGCCTCTGCGGTCCGGCTTCCCGGGGCTCCCGTCCGCCAAAGCCGGCTTGCCTTTGCGCGGCTGAACCTCCTGTAACATCTCC